TTCAATGAGTTGGTCAGCTGCCAATTTGAAAACTCTTGCAGCTGAGTGCGGTGGCGGCCTGCCCCTGTGTTTTCCATGGCGGATAATGACTTGCCCCCTGCACAATTGGGACAAGGGCACTCTGCCTTACCTGAACCAGACTGCTGCAACAGCACAAGTAGGCAAAAATGAGCACTCATTACAATCACCGGAGACTGACTGTTAAAGTCACATTTGCACCCACTGAGTCGCCGGCTGGATTCACTCATCCAATCGCCCCAGCGGCCCTGATCACCATGTCGGCACAACCGACAAAGGAACTGACAGTTTCCAAAACCGAGACGGGCATGATCTCACTTTCTTTTTAAGCTCAGTCAGTAACACCGGCAGCCAGGTTTAAACGCACGAATTAAGCTGTGACTGCCAGCTGAAAGTGGGAATGTAACTATTAGCCCTTTCAAGGTAAGGACTGTGTTTCACTTCCAGCCAGCAGTCCAGTGTCGGGTCCAGGACTCTCTGGCTGGGCCAGTGTCGGGACACAAATTTCGACGGCTCAGAATCATTCATTGGAGCAGAACTGTTTGACCCTGGACTTCGGGTTCAGTGTCGATGATCAACTGTACGTGTGCAGCTCATCCTGCATTTCCAGCAGTGCTTCAATCATGTACTCACGATCCCGGAATGGAGCATAGTAGGCTCGGTGGTTGATCCACCTGACAATGGCTTGTTCCATGGGCATCGAGGCAAAGGCCATGACTAGGACACAATAAGCAGCACAGGTCCTGTTAATGCCACCGTAGCAATGGACAAGCACACGAATTGGCCTCTTCTTGCCTCCACGCTTCCGACCACCTCCCTGAAGCTTCATCGCCTCCAACAAAGCAAGAGCATTACCGAGCTCACCAGGGAATGTCTCATCGGCCACCTTCAAGGCACTCTGCCCTCCATCGGCACTCTGCCTTCCTTCAGCGGCTCTTCCGAACAGGCTGCCCATGTCACTTCCCTTGCTGAAGCCCTTGTCATAGGAGCAGCCATAGCCAAATGAGCCCTTCGTCGATGCCTTCTGGCTTTGCATGTGATTGGAAACCGGACAGGGGCCGCTGTAGCCCTTGCTGATTGTCTTGCCCTTGCCCCTGCCGCCATTGGCCTTGCCCATCATTTTGCCCCTGATGGCACTCTGCCTTTGACTCTGGCTGAACTCCTCTGCTGAGCGCTGCCAGCACATCATAATCTTTCTGAAATCTGAAATGAGGCGGCGCCAAATGGTCTTGAACTCATGGCTTCTTTGTTCAGCATCAAAGTCATTGGCATGTGTTTGATCCCAGCCACCATACCGAAGATGTGCAGTGCCAAACGGTCCACAATTCGCCAAATACTGAGACCAGTCCCATGGCTCAAAATTCCGAGGTCTGTCATCTGCATTCATAGAGATGACAATGTCAGGCTTGACCCGGAGCTGGTCATATCGGATCGGGCAACCAATACTGCCAACAAACAGTTGCCACTGGGGATGGTCGTAAATCAAAACATCATCCATGGGCCACGTCTCGACATCATGCTGGCATGGCCGAGGTGGCCGGATCGACCCAGGCAGCACATCTGTCTGGCCGGTCCATGCTTTGTACAACTTCATATCCATATCTCCGAAATCTGAGATGGCCTCAACTGCCAATTTGATTCGTTGATCCAATTGTGCAGCCCTTTGGATCTTTCGGAGGCCGGTGGTATAGTCGGCAGCTGATCTGCCACAGTGTAAACAATTCCACCGAAGTTGTTGCACGGCTTCGTTCCAGTAATCACTGCCAAGGTCAATGTGATTGGCCTGATTCTGATGGTCAGCAGCAGAAGTCTGGCACTCTGCCTCGGAACTCCCTGAGCACCTTGAAACGGTCGTCGGCATCACTGCTTTCATCGAGCACCCAATTGTCCAAAGATTAAAACATTAACAGTGACTAATGCATCACTATACAGTACATTAACCAATGATATGTAACATTGTGTTACTACTGTTACATCAGTATGAATGAATCACTTGATTATCTGGCCGGCCGATGTCGATCATGTATGGTGCAAGGCAACTCACTGACAGACTATGCAGGCAGGCAGGCAGGCAGCCAGCCTCGGAGACAGCAGGGTCCTGAGGACGTCACTGCCCCCCGGCACTGTGTAGTCAGCATGTCATGCTGGGTAACCTTTTGGAATCCAAGTTGCGCACACTACCGCTGAGGTCTCCAATCGGACAGTCTAGCTCTGCTGGCTAGATCGTCGAATTCAAAATCCTCTAAGCACACGCAAACCCGGCACTCTGCCTTCCCCAACATCCGTAATGCGGTATCGGAGGCTGTACAAACACGATGAATCACTGATTCATCATTGACGACAGAGCTTCGTCTCGCACGTCATTGTAATATAAAATTCCTGGCACTCTGCCTTCACTGTAATCCTGCATAAATCTCGGAAAGAGTACGTGCAGGATAATATCATTGATATGCCAGTCTACTTGCAAGACATGCCCACGCTCTTCAGAATTCAGAAAGAACCACAATGTCGAAAAGGACTCCTCTAGCAGCGCGTCGAAATAAATCACATAATCATCGTAGTCACTGTCCATGATCGAGGCCACAGTGCTTGCACGCTCATCGGCAACCAGAATCCAGTCCGAGTCCAGAGACTCACTGTCACTGCACGACATCGACGACATCTGCCGGCTTGCAGGGGGGCCTACTACGACTTAGACTAGAGACAGAGCAGGTCGTCGGCATCACTGCTTTCATCGAGCACACAATTGTCCAACGATTAAAACATTAACAGTGACTAATGCATCACTATATAGTACATTAATCAATGATATGTAACATTTTGTTACTACTGTTACATCAGTATGCATGAATCGCTTGATTCTCTGGCCGGCAGATGTCGATCATGTATGGTGCAAGTCAACTCACTGACAGACTATGCAGGCAGGCAGCCAGCCTCGGAGACAGCAGGGTCCTGAGGACATCACTGCCACCCGGCACTGTGTAGTCAGCATGTCATGCTGGGTAACCGTTTTGAATCCAAGTTGCGCACACTACCGCTGAGGTCTCAAATCGGACAGTCTAGCTCTGCTGGCTAGATCGTCGAATTCAAAATCCCCTAAACACACGCAAACCCGGCACTCTGCCTTCCCCAAGATCCGTGATACTGTCGCGGAGGCTGTACAAACACGACAAATCATTGATTCAGTGACGACAGCCATTCGTCTGTCACATTGAAATATAAAATTCCTGGCACTCTGCCTTGCCTAAAATCCCGCAAAAGTCTCGGAAACAGTACGAACATGATCTGTTCATTGATATGGAAGGCTGCTCGAAAGACTTGCCCACGCTCTTTAGAATCCAGAAACATCCACAATGTCGAAAAGGACTCCTCTAGCATCTCGTCGAACGGAATCACATAATCATCGTCGTCAGCACTGTCCGCGACCGAGCCCGCAGTACTTGCACCCTCATCGTCAACCAGAACCCAGTCCGAGCCCACAGACTCACTGTCACTCCACCACATCGACGACATCTGCCGGCTTGCAGGGGGGCCTACTACGACTTAGACTAGAGACAGAGCAGCTGTAACACGACTATAGTAGATTACGCAGGGCAACAGCGAGCACAACTGCTGCAGCGGCAAGTTGCGATACATGACACGCTCACTGACTATGCAAGGCAGCTTGTCCTCTGCGATGGCAGCATGTCCTCAGGATCCTCGTCATGAGCCTCGGTGCCAGGACTGTACCATAATAATGGAAGTAGCTGAAGCAAGCTGATGCTGAGATCCCAGCAGTTGGCATCCACTTCTCGATGGGCTGGAAGCCGATGAAGACCGATGGGAGAGAAGGAAATGGAAGAGAAGGCGTTCACTAGGCTTGGATTCAAACCGAACACTTAGACCTGGCCAACGGTGTGGGGAGCAACCCCGATGGGGCAGGGACTTAAGTAAGGCAACCTCGAGAGGCTCGACTGGCACTCTGCCTCTGTCGATCCAAGTCGCAAGGCTCCCTAACTAACGTGACAAGCATGGATGGCCTCCCCTCCTGGTTGGGAGAAAAATAAAAAAGCCACAACCACTGGACCACCCCACCCGGCACTTTAGCCCATGTGCCCGGGTGTCATATGCCACTGCCCTGGCACGTTGGCCCCAAGGCGGTCCAGGTACCATCGACAACACCTGACACCCGGCCAACGGTGTCCACGAACCGAGATGGGCAGTCGATCCGTGTGGGTAAGGTGGCACTCTGCCTCTGTCGATCCAAGTCGCAAGGCTCCCTAACTAACGTGACAAGCATGGATGGCCTCCCCTCCTGGTTGGGAGAACAAATCAAGCCGCAACCACTGGACCACCCCACCCGGCACTTTAGCCCATGTGCCCGGGTGTCATATGCCACTGCCCTGGCACGTTGGCCCCAAGGCGGTCCAGGTACCATCGACTCAGCACCTGACACCCGGCCAACGGTGTCCACGAACCGAGATGGGCAGTCGATCCGTGTGGGTAAGGGCAAGATCTCAAGGCAAGTCAACATGTCACTACGGCCTCCCTTCTTTGTTCAATCACAACCCAAAACTATTTAAAAAGATTAAATTTTAAAAATTATTAACTTCAACAACAAATAAACAACAATTTTGTAGACATACAGCAGCAGGAAACCAGGTAGAACAACAGGAAGCCAATTGACTCACTCAGAAACAAAATTCACAAACATGTATTTTTTACACCAAAAATAAAATAAAAGAATTTTAACAACTGTAAAACACAAAAAAACCTATTTAAAAAACTTTTAAATACAAAACAATACTTTTAAATACAAAAAAACACTTTTAAACACAAATAAAGCCAACCACATACAAAAATGAGATTTTGGGTTCCTTTCATATAAGCCTTGTTGATCTAAACCCTGTGGTTCTGGTTCGGCGCAAAGGGTTAAGGATTATACATTATACGAGCTTTGCTTTCTTGTTTGCTGCACCGAAATCGGATGCTGACACAGGTCCATGGAACTCTCCTTTGCCGGGCCTTCGCTGGAGTCGACACGCCGAGAAGCTCTCCGCCACCCTGCGCGCAGACAGCTAGGGAGATCCGGACTGAAGCGTCGCTGAAGGGGCGAAGCGAGGCTTTACATCAGAGTTCGTAACTTAAAATTAAGATGGAAGAGAAGAGCTGCCCGCATCAGTGCACCAGTCTGGACAGGGCTCACAGTCGTGTCCTCCATCAACTGCTCAGCTCCCAACTTAGGCCGTCGGCTGCGACCAGCGATTTTGGTGCTGGTTTCGTGGGGGCTTCTGGCACTCGCAATTTGGTCGGCAACCGTCGCCCAGGCCTGCCAAACGACTCCAAGCCAAAGACCTCCAGGGCGCTTGTTCGGTAGCATTCGCTGTGATATATAATGATGTCGTGACAGGAACCAAGCTACGAGAATGTCGAGTTTCCCCACTCGACGTCCTACGACTCCTACAACCTCACCTTTGCGACGGTACCTGGACTCACGAAATCATGCCTCGGATTGGACAAATGTTGAGTTTCCAGCTCAACTGTTGTATAGTCCTGAATGGGTCTCATCATCTCATTGGCTGGAGATGTTGCATATTCCTACCCCCTATCCCCTATCACAACGAGCCCAGGCAAAATACCGAACTGCACCTGTTAGCCTATTCTGCCGAAATTCTGAAGACGGAAGCCCTAGGTGATGCTGCAGATTGTTGCTGCTTCGGCCGGCGTAGTGCTCATGCACGCCCGAACCGACTGCCTTTTCCACCTCGGGGCCATTTTGTACCTGTGCTATTCCAGGAACGTGTGTGGTCAGCTAGACCATGTTGTGGATAGGGAGGTAGGCAGATTGCATTGAAGTCAGTGAAGGTTCGTGATGTGGATCAGCGAAGCAGCCCTGGTTGTCCAGTACATCTTGCAGTTCCTTCGTATCAAAGACTATGGCCTGACGGTGGCGATATCGCTGGGTTGCTTGCATGGCGTAGGCTTCGGCTATCAGAAAACGTTTATCTTCAACTGCATGTCGGACATTGAACTTGTTCTGGCCATAAATCTGGGTACACGGAAAGCTGCCCACATGTTGCTCGTAGATGCACTGCTCTCCATTCTTGCGGTTACAGCAGCTGCGGCCCAAAGACTCAGGGCAGATATGGGTTTGCACTGGCCCGACTCAGTTCGAATACTGTCGAGCATGGTTTGTTGGGCATTTCTGTGTGCCAGCACTATTTTTGCCCTCCAGACTTTCAAAATCATGGGTGGTGTGCTCCGGCTGTCGGAGGACACAACTGCTCGCTTAGCACAGGAAGCCAAATCACGCAGTCAGATATGGTTTCAAAATGGTGACCCGGAGATTGAGGCTACCTTTCACAAGTTGCGGAAGCACAGGCGCCACGTTCTGACCTTGTCTGTGGTTAGGCTGCTGGTTTTCGGTCACATCATGCTCTTCGGTGGCTTCCTGTGGCCACTTCCTGCGGACTTGAGTGCCCGGGTAACAGACCGCTTGGGCGGGGGATTTGCTGGATATTTGATGACAGACTCAGTGCTTATTACGACTCTGTACTACCTCTACCTGATCGTCATCATCTGGTATGTCTACGGAGGCTTGTCGTCTCTTGTGGGCATCCATGCACGGTTCCAAGAGGAGCTTTGGCAAGTGTGTGGGCGGGGGAAGGCAACCATGGCAAGGCTTCTAAGCTCGCTTCTGTTGGTGCCTGTCCAAGGGAGCCGGCATCTATCGGCATGTAATGCAAGCAAACAAAGTGAAAGCTTACATGCCGCCAACCACACTTCCGTTTCAGCAGCCACAAAGTTCGGTTTCCTCACTTAGCAAAGCTGGCCGAGGAGGAGCTGCGCTTGGCGAAGCGTGCCCGCCAGCAAGCGGGCTTTTCTTTGTCGAGCGATCCGAGATGGCAGGCTCTGTACACGATGTAGGCTTTGTCCTCGCAGGAAGTGCAAGACTAGTTCTAAAGCAGCATGGAGCACCATCTTGCCAACATAGGTCAAACTGTTGTCGGCGGCAGTGTATCCAAAGACCCTCGAGCATCGCCAAACCCTGTTGCTTGCGGCACCAGCTTCTTTTGCAAGCAGTCCGAGTCCAGGCCTCCAGACCTCGATCCTACTACTATGTCATACTGTGTTATACTATATTATATACTGTACTATATCATACTATATTATGTTATGTTACTGTATATTGTTTTATGTTTTATTATGTTGCATCATATGATAGTCAGAATGTCCACCGTTAGGATCCTTGCAGTTTCCAGTCTCCCGGCCCGCCGACAGGCTCAAGTCCAGGATCTGGCGTGCCGTGCGCAGCTCGAAGCGGACTTCAGGAACTGGGGCAACTAGGATATATGTATATATATATATATATATGTATATATTATTGTATATTTGTTTATGCTATATTATGTTGTATCATGTTTCTTTTATATGTGTGTATGTGCATATATATACATATATATATATATACATATATATATATATATTATGTATATATGAAGGCTGGTGTTTTGCGTGTCTGAGGCACATGGCCTTGTTGGCTTCGGGCTTACCTGGCTGTCTGGGGGGGTGACACGGAGGGTGTCAACTGGATGTAGGGCTCCTGGATGTTGTGATGCCACAAGTGACGGAGACATTGAAAACGAAAGTGAAAGTCAGCTGTGTGACGGGAATGCAGCGGGGTTGTCACAGCTAGTTCCAGGCATCTCACCCAATGATCAGCTTGACAGGTGTGAGAGGAAGGTCAAGAAGCTTTGACTTCCGTTGAAGTCCGAGGATTACCGTGGAGGTGCTCCTGGACTTCTACCAGGGCCTAGGGCGAGACTATATGCGGGGCTTCAACCCGGACAGGCCTGCCAGGGGCCTGGAGTGATGAAACTCAAGGCAGAGGGTTTCGAAGTTGGCGCAGTCTTAAATGTCAAATGCCGACAGGCACACGACCAGTGATGTGGTGCGGCAAGCCATCATTCCCCTGAGTGCACCTGGGTCGGATAGACGAGGGCGAGAGTACCAAACTGACGCAGATGCGAAGCCGGCTAGGCTAGAGGGAAATGACTGTCAAGCATCCATGCAGCGTGCTCTTTGTGTGCGGAGCTTGAACCCCAACAGCAAAGGCAAGCGCTGGATCCGACATGGCAAATGTCCTGATGCAAGGCGGCCATCCTGGAATCTTGCACACCACTCTTTTGTGCTGGGGTTTAGCCCCAGACCACTTCCTGGTCTGTAGACCAATGTTCGAGTTGCAGGGATAGATTTGTTCACTGAGCTGTGAGAGTCTACACAAATAGAATCTGCTATGGCAGCTGCACAAACCGCCAGCGGATCCGAGCTTTGCAGGAGTCGCTAGAGGCGCACTACTACAATACCGGATCCGTTGTGAACTTTTCCAAGCCTTACCGAAGCCATCACTTGCTACTTGGGAGTTTCCGAAAACTAGGGGTGCCTCATTTTAGGGTCCTTATAATAAGGATCCTACTATTTAGGGATATTTAGGGTAGTGTATTAGTGTCCCTTATTTTCGGAAACTCCCACTTAGAAGTCTTGCCACGACCAGGCCAGCGAATGCTACCCGAGGCCATGGTCTCCCACACATGGTGTCCCGGATTCCACAGCCGTTTTGTGTTTTTCCTTGGTTTCCGGCTTTCAGGTATCACCGTAGGAGACACGAACCGATACAGTAATTTCTGAGTTCCACATTGCTCTCTCCGTCCTGAGCTGTGGGCCCCGCACCCCCGGCCCTCCCCCTGACCCAGGAGGGTCGGACACAACAGACAGCAGAACCGCAACTGTTCGGCAACCAACCCCAGCGTACATCTGTGCACCCCAAGACTTCGGGTTCACCGCAGGCTTTCTTTCCTGATCTCTTTGTTGACAAGCAGAATCATAAACATGCTTGCAGAATGGGTGGAAAAACGTTTCAGAGTGGTTCTTGCATTGAGGAGCTGGCTGTTGCCATCTGCCGCTCTTGCAGGCTTGGATCTTGTAACAACGCATGCAAGCTCAATTTCTGTTTAGCTACAAACTTGTAGCGGCTCCCTTCCAGTTCGCAACAGCATGCACGGACAACGGCATCGTTTACATTCGCTTACCCGCCCCTAGCTTTTTCGTCCGCTCCTGCTCTCAAGTTATACGAACAGTCTTCATATTGTGCTATCTTGTGCTTTTGTCCGGCCAAACGGCCATGCTGTAAAGAGCAGACCTGCAGTTGCAAATGTCACTCGCAATGTCAACCGTCGGTGAGACAATAATAACTTCGCAGGCCCGTCCCCCGCACCAGCCAGATATGTTTTCTGATGGTGCGCCTGAGAGATCTTTGTATGTGAGCTGTTCGGAGAACGCTCCTGCTCCCGTCACACGCATCGGCCTCAGTACGGGATCAAAAAAAAAGGGCATATGATGGTGCCCACTCCTGTGATGAGAAGCTGACGAAAAGAATAGGACATCAGCGCGACGGACAGGGGGCGGGGGAAGGGAACTTGCTTTCCATTACTCGTGGCCAAGCCCATCAAGTGCAACACTCCTCGATTGTAAGACCTCCCAAGCTGAGGCGAGGCCGCTTCCGGGACTTGGTCGCGGCTGTTGTGGCTGACGGTCTCGGGGAGCGTCCCGGACTTCGGTTTTTGCTCGAGTGCCTGCTAGCAGGGGAGTTGGTCGGTTAGCAGATTGAGAGTGCTTGCAGCTTGCAGCAAAACTGGTATTGGGTTCAACGCAGGGTGTGATACCTTGATCACGTTTTTGCAGCTGGATGGAGGGTGTCATCATCTGAGTTTGTGAGTTCGACCTTGTTCGTTCTTTTCTTGTGATCTCTCTCGCTCTCTCTCTCTCTCTCTCTCTCTCTCTCTCGCTCTCTCGCTGCTTAGATTATAACTTCTCGCGGCCTTCGTTGCTGGTCGACCTGCCGCGATATGCTAACCCAACATATGTTTTGAATTGATGTCTACTCCTCATCCATCTCATTCCTCGCTTTTTGACTCTGCGTGCGTGATGGTTACAAACATGAGCTCACTCGTACACTGGGCCTGGGGGATGCCGCACAGGTTCAAACTCAGAAACAGACCCGAGGCAAGAGTATGGTCGCATTGGCAATCTACTGGACACCGACGTGGATTTGATAAAGCACTGGATCTCCAGGGGCTGTGGACTTCAACGTGCCTCTGGACGTGTGCGCATTCACTTGTGATAGTTGGTTTTGTGTCGTTTCTGTGTCGTGGGACATCTCTTGTGTTGATGCTGCATTCCTGCAGGGACGTATTGGATCTGCGCCTTCTGCGTGAACCAACACAAGAGCATCTGCTCACCAACGGTTCAACAGACAGACTCCGTCACAGGCCTGGCGGGGCACCTGACGTTTTCAGTGGGCATTTCCCGACGAAAATTGCGATTCCTGCACGGAGGGACGTTTTGATGTGCACCGAGACAAGCAGCACAGTGGGTTCCAACACCTGTTGCGAGAAAGCCACCTGAAGAATATACTTTCTTCAGATACTGCCCTTCGCCACACTTGTGCCCCGCGAGGCGCGCTAGTGCCACCATGTGGCTGCGGCTGTCCAAAGTTCCTGAACACGGACGCACCGTGTCGAGCGGACGGTTCCAGCATTCAGTGCGAAATGACGCCCTGCCCTATTCAGTAAGGTGTATACTATATCGATATTTATGTAGAAAGAGTTTCTTGTGAAATTATTGTTTGCGTGTATGTGTCTATACATATGTATGTAAGAGTGTCATGTGAGTACGCATGTGTGTATATATACATACACATGTATCTGCATATGTACATGTATCTGTATGTGTATATACATACATGTACCTGCATGGTGTGTATATATATACACATATACATATACATACATATATATATATATATATATATTTCTATTTATATTTATATATATTTTTTGCGCACACCACACAGAGAGAGAGAGAGAGAGAGAGAGAGAGAGAGAGAGAGAGAGAGAGATAGAGAGAGAGAGAGAGAGAGAGAAAAGGAGGAACCCATTTCGAACTGAGTACTGAGTGCGTGAGTAGCTTTGGCAAGATCCAAGGCCTACCCCAAAAGTTGGCATTGAGACTTGTAAGCCAGCCAGGACTTGTAATCTGTCGCAAGACAGAGAGACCTTCAACCAGCTGTCATTGCCTTCATTCTTATTTCTATTTGTTTGTTGTTCCTCCTTGAGATTGCTGGGGGAAAGAAGCCTCTGATCAAAGGTCCTCGAGAATGTACGTGCGCCCCTTCTCCGACGGTCTTAATTATACCAGCTTTGGCGCCAAGGGGGCACTACATTCGCTATTCACTCCTCCTATCCCGATAGAGACTATCGGGAGGGCTTGGAGCCCGGGGGATTCGACCCTTCCCTAAGCCCGGTATAAGGGGAAGAAAGAGAGACTCTCAGGGGTTAGAGAGAGAGATACATACATACATATACATATATATATATACATACATATGTATACATGCGTTTCTGAGCCTTTTCCGGCGTGCCTTTGGTCAGTCAGACATCGAGTTAGGGGGAATCATATGGCCATTTGTTGCATACGAATATCGCTTGCATTCCACTGGTATCTCGATGTCTCGTTCTCAGTTCTCCTTCCTGGCTCAGGAACAAGTTCGGGGACATGATGGCTTGGCTAGCGGCCAAGGACAGAGCCGCTTTGTTGTTCGCATTGGCCAGTACAGACAGGTGTAAAGGCAGTCAGACTAACAGTCCGGGCTGACTCAGGTCTTGAAGAGCTGTGTTGATGCCTTGGCGACTTTCCAAGTCCCGTTTGAAGGACAGCTCCTTCACACACGTTCTCGCCCTGGATTTGGATCTGGACCTGTTGCAGAGAGCTTGGTGCGTGGCAGAGGCACGCCTTCGAATGGCTTCGGCAGCAAGCCGTTGCCAGAACAACAGCTTGCATAAGTCAGCGACCGAATTCATGAGAGCATTGTGGCCTGTGACATCTGTAACACTGTCCGAAAGAAAGGCTGCGGAATCGTACATCATGGGCATGTCCCAGTACATGAAGGTCAGCAGCCTGTCGAACATCAGCACCCTGAGCTGCAAAAAGGGTTCGATATGCAAGTTTGTCGAGTCCAGATATACGTTCAAGCTCATGTTTCGTGCTAAATCAAGGCACGGTCGTTGTTGCAACCCTTGAAGTAGGCAAGGCTGCACACTTACGTGTCTTGACGGATTCGAAGGACGGAAATGGGCCAAAGTGAAGAAGCTGCGCGTCGAGGACATGTCGGCTTCCAGGCATGCACCACCATTCGTCAGTTTAGTATCACAAGAAAGAGGTGTTTTCAGTGGTTCGGAGTTTGCCTGGAGGCCGGAGGATGTCGCTGAAATCTTGCAACTCTGGTCGCAGACAGGGTGTCAGCCGCAGCTAGGAACATTGCTGCACCAGTCACGCGGAGCGAGTTTTCTCACGTTTTCCGAAAGTGCGCCTTGAGAAACATCACCGAGAGCGCAAAGTTCTGCTTCCCGATTAAAGGAACACTGCGCATGCGATCATGTAATGTCATGCGCCGAGCCATGTTTTATGCCCCTGCATTGTGGGTAACATGGCCGCTGGGCCACAGGCAGCGCATTCCCAACAAGGAGGAGTTCAATACGCAGATTCAGAAGCTGTTCGAGCCGTGCCTGCACACCATCCTATCAAGATGTAAAACCATACCGTCACAACAACGGTACTGCAGCTCGGAATCTCGGCGCAGCTGAGGATCGGCTCTTCGGACAGTTCTGGCACCTACCGCCGTCCGAGAGAGTTCGCGTTATGTGCCGTGAGCTGCGATGGAGGATCTTCTCCCTAATGCGTGTGTGCGTTTGTCTCAGTGCTTGCCCGTCTCGTCTTATGAGAAATGTAGGGAGCCTCAAACCTATATTAGACGGTACGTAGACAACACTAATTACCTGGTCGACACGCCAAAGAAGTGTGCAAACGAGCAGACACAACCGCCAGTACGACAGACGTCAGAAGGTCCTGGTGTTAATGGAAAACCATGCATCGCAAAATGAACCCCGCACATGCCCGCGCCTGAGAGGATGAACATGGTCGAGGCGATGTCGGAGGAAGCCACAAGCCCGATGTCATCCGGGAGTCAGAAGAAGGGCGCGACGTCCCCGCTGCCTCCCCTGGAATCTGCGATGTTTTGACTGCTGCGCTAGTGGCAAGTGTTACAGACAAGTGAGCGCTAAGAGATGATTTTCCATGGTTTGTTTGGGCAGGTGGTGTCCCTCTTTCTTTGGGCTTTGTTGCTGCGTGGCATCCTTCATGGCAGCCTACTGTTGGTTCACCACGACACATTGAGCAGTTGTCCTGCGACATCGGCGAAGTTGATTGTATGAACTGCCATGGTGGTAGTAATTGTGAAGCCTTCTGATGGGGCGCTGGATAGCTCTGCTTTTGCCTGGGAATGGGGATGTGAAGTTTCTTCCGGCCTGATTTTGAGTTGCGCAGGAGCCTTGTAGACACCTGTTCGGCTTTACCTGAAAATGCTGCGCAGAGCAAAGCCCACCCAACTTTTTAAAAAAGGAGACATTCGTCCAGCACGGGTCTTTGTGACTAGGCCTATGGCAGGCAGCAGCTCCTATCAAATGAAGCACCAGCAGCCAATTGCTAGCAACCGGGAGACTCCAGATGGGAGGATAATTACCTGTCTCCATTTTGAAATGCTCTCATTGACTCATGTATTCGGGTTTCTCTATTGAGAAGTCCCGGTCATGAGCGTCGTCGCGGTCGTGGCTTCTCGCCGAAGGGGCTTTGGAAGCCACGCGCTGGCACCTGATATTATGCACCCGAAGGGTCATTTTCTTTATTTCCGGGGATACAAATTCCTCCGAAATTCCTGCTCTGCAGTCTTGGAGAATGTGGCAGCCGAGAAACTGTCTTTACGGCCCTAGCGCTTCAAAGCTCACGTGCTTTGTTCCAATATCTGGAGAGCATTGCAACCACGGGCCTGTAGGCCTGAGCCCGAAGCACAGCTGCGACCGGATCATGACATAAAAGGCCAGGGTCGCCTCTGAGAGATGGGTTTTAAGGGCGCTTTTCTGAGCACCCACGGGCATCGCAGTCAGCAAAAGCGCATCTCGACCTCAGGTGCTTGGCCTTCATGGCTTTGGGTATAGGGCTGAAAGGGGAGCCCCCATCATGCATTTCGGACTGAGGGTTCAGCGGCGTTTGGGGCCGGTTCGGGGATGTGGGACATCACAGGCTTGAAGGGCGAAGAACCTGCCTAAGAGACTGGCAACAACTCATCAAAAGATGTCCGGAGGTCATCCTTGCAATTTTCAGTGCCTTGCACTGCTACAAACCCAATAACCCAATAATTCGCAATGCCTAGAATCTTGCCTAGAACGCCACGAAATCACGAAACATCACCCGTGTATGTCAAATTTTTCCCCCGATGCCAAGTCAAGAGCTGTAGTCCCCGTGTATATGGGAGTTTCCGAAAAAACAGGGGACCCTAATATAGTACCCGAAATAGTAGGATCCTGATTATAAGGACCCCCGAATAAGGTACCACTTTTTTCGGAAACTCCCATATAATGTGAGCGGTTCTTTCCCGTTTTCAATCAGTTGGACTGGCATCGGCTATCGCCCGCGGCCCAAGGGTGCAGGAAGCCCACTGCATCTCAGGACTTTGCACCTCCATGAAAGTAGAAGCAGATTGACCTATGGACCTATATATGGCCTGCGGAACTACAGTAGCTGCTAGAGTAAATGCTTCGGGAGCATGCTTGAGGCCGCATAGGCGTATTCATGCTGCCTTTTGTTTGCCGTTCGTTTTGCTTATCTCAGCATGGCCTTCCGTCGGAGAGTCGCTTTGGCCATACTTCCGCTGCTCACACTGGCCGGGGGCAACTGCATCTCGGCCCCAAGAGATCGATACTCACCAGATGGCGCAGGCAGCTGAGGCCTCGAATCGGAAAGAACCTCTGGGAATCGAACATGTATCCTGAACCTCACAAACCTCGCCATTACTTGCAGATCTCCTGTTGTTTGTCAGTCGCTTTGGTCCTGAGGCGTGCAAGGCGAGTGGGACACTGTGGGCGGTGGCCCATGTGACTCAGAGGCAAGCCCACAGCTTTCCGGCTTGCGCAACCTCTTGGGTCCCTGAACTCAAGCACTTTGTTCGCGGAGTTATCACCAATCCCATAGTGACCCTGGGGGGCGAGCCCCGGAATGTGAACACGAGCCCTGCGCCTCAATTTGCTGCCAGGGAGGTCATGGCGGCCAATTCATTGTTCCGTTTCTGCTGCAGCGGAAGTCGAGCCGGACTTCTGAGTGCCTTGTCTGAAAGGACTTCCCCAAGCGTACTGATGCATACTGTAAGTATCGGTATGGTTGGCCGCTTTAGAAATCGCGATTCTGTGGCGGTGTTCCAATCAAGACGGAGTGCCAAACAAAAACCTCCAGATGTGAAGTATGATAGTCTACGCGGAGGCTCACCTGGCATGGGTCCAAGCAAGGAAATATAGTCGATGTCAGGAGCATTGTGGCGCAGCTGGAGCGAGCCTCCTCCCGGGACAAGCTGGCGGGGAACCCCGAAGTGACCAGCAAATCCTGGGCCTGACCTGCTCTACAAGTGTAAAATCTAAAGCTATACTAACTACACCGCACCCGGGGGCTTCAAATGGACTTGGCTTAGCGGTGGAGTTCTTGAGCTTTCAGCTTATGCACTGGAATGCTGAGTCTGAGTTCGTAGGGATTTTGCAACTTGCACTTGCGTTAGCTATGTTCGGGCTGTGATTTTGCTTGGCCGTTAGCTCACAAAGTGTGGGTACGCGCAGAAGTGATATTGAATCTGGAAGAAATAGTGGAGTCCCTGCCTGGCCTCGAACATGCTCACATTTTCTCAGTCTTGCGACACTGAGACCCGGCGTTTGCCCAACATCGGAAAGCATGAATCTGAATTCAGCATTGTCGGGAGAGACAGATCGCATTCTCGTGGTCGTCAAATTTGCCGTGTAGATGTAGATCCTCCAAAAAGACTCTCAAAAGGAAATGCTTGAGGGGGTCCCAGTGCAGCCTCCACTCCGATTCGCTGTGAGACTCCACCTGCCTTGCCTTCGAGCAGGTCCACGGAGGTGGTCCGAGGTTAACATCCAAGAGCTGCAGTGCCTGGGACAGATTCGGTGCTTGTGTTGATGCTATTTTTGTGCAGGCATGGATCTGGAAGCTCGTGGATCTACATAGGGTTGAATCTCAACAGGTGGATTGCACCGTTTAGGGTTTCAGTTTGGATAGCGCTGCATTGAAAGAAGGTTGTCGGAATCATATCAGCAGGCACGCAAGAGCCGATAAGATCATCGAGTTCAGAGCCAATAGCACAGCCCAGCAGCACCTTCGACCTACACATCCACGTCTCACCTCCTGGCCAACGGTTGCACACTCAAGCTTCAAACATGAGCTTGTGCATGTCTGAGGCACTTCCATTGAGCTCCCGCGGTCTAGCGAGGAAGTGCAGCTCCGCACCTGAGTCCTGTTTGGCAGAAGTTCCAACTTACATGAAGTGGGCTAAAGGCTTTGGGGGCTGAGCTTTCGTGTTTGAGGAAGGCTAGGCCCAGGCTAGACAGATATAGTTTGGTGCGACTTGGCAAAGCACCGGATAACACTAGCATAGGAGTAGCTGACATCTGATCTCGCAAAGCTTTCGGTTCTTGGCCGTGCCAAGAATGATCGGCAGCTCCATGTACCAACTCACAGCACCATCAAACTGAGTATGGTATATCGCCCCCGATTCAATAATACGCATTCTTCATGCTCGTGCAGACGGTCTAGGACTGCAAGTCAAGCGTTTTTTTCATGTATCTGTTACTGTGTAGCGTGCTGAAGAACCAAAGCTCCTGTGCCCTTTGAAGAGCAAAGCAGAATAATGTTGTGGCGATGTTGCTGATGACGACGGTTATGATGCTGCTGGTGATGGTGCTCGTCAACAAGATGTTGAGTTTAGTCGTCAGTTTGAGGACGTTTGCGGGTCGTGTACGTCAACGGGAGGTGTTGTTGCAGCTTCGCTGATGTTGTCAGAGAAGTCCGTGCCTAGCCCCACTCAACAGAGGCTCCGGTGATGCCTGAGGCAACATTCGCTGGCTTCACTTTCCAAAAGCGGGCACTAGCTTCGCAGCAACACTGTGGAGTTATGCGACTTGGACCGGTCGAAGCTATGGACGTTTTGCTTGAGGCATCTTGAGGCCCTCAACAAAAAGCTTCAGAAGTTAGCAGGTGAAAGCTTTGTTAGGGTGTACTGCTTCGGAAATTGATTTTTGAGGTGTTGTGATACGATCTTCACGTACGCTACAACTGGATCATGCCTGCCGCCACTGTGGTAAGATCAGGTTCCAGTTGTTTGCAGGAGTACTCCGCGCTGGCATCCGTACAGTAATACTTTCAGCTTCCAAGAGGCGTTTCAACGCGCTTTTGGTGACCTTAGTCACATCTGGATCCTACAGTCCGCGACAGTCCCCTATACTGCTTAACGACAGAGCTTACGCCGGTAACCTCGAGAACACCCGGTTCCATGCGCAGCAATTTTGCGATCACGAATCGTCATGGTCCCTTGCTTCTGCATCCCCGTCATCATAATCCGTCCTCACAGTCGGCACAAACGTCGCAACCATGTTCGTGGCATTCGCCGCCACGCTATAACCCTCTTCAGATGCATACACAACCAACATCACCGATGGTGTCATCGCGGTCTTCGAACATGGCGGCATTCACAGACTTGCAGATGCGACATCGGCTTATGCATGCGAAGTCACGTTATGCGAGGCCTGTGGCCAGGAAGCTCCCTTGGACCTCTCAGTCAGCCCACTGGCCTCCCCGGACTGCCAGGCGCTGCACCTTTTCGATGCAGCAGGGTTATAATCATGCTTCAGGGGCATGTCGTGATGCCTTCTTCGGTTTAAACTGCGGACTACAGTCCTGGATAGCAGCCACTGCCCAGGGCCCCATGGCTCGGGTGTTGCAGACGATGAGTCAACTGCTTCTACGGTGCGCATTCGTGGAAATCATCTGGAAGTCATGCCGAGAATTGAACATCCACGTGGGCATGCGCACAGCTTTTAAGCTTTCAACCAGGGTCCCTTGCCCTTCGGAGGCCTGCTATGATTTGGCGCTCAAGGGCCGCTACCCCCCAGATCAGTGCTTGGGCGCC